AAAAAAATTAAATAATTTAAATTTTAGGTAAATATAATATATAATTAAATTCCTACTCAAGTTAAAAGCTATTAGATATTATGAGATAGAGATGGTGACAACAGAGTTCGATTACAATTGCCGTGATTAGTTGAGGGGGGAGTTATGATGCGCTCATGATCGACCAAGTTGAAACCATACGTGAGGATGTGGGACCTATATCCTCTCCCACTGTGTGCCTAAAAATAACCAAGGTGGTTCTTCCCCCACATATGAGGGGCTTAATTAACATTTATGCAGGCTCACGCAATTGCTTACTGCAGTGAAAAAAAGAGAGGAAAATATCTATTCAGCATTTACCCCTTTTCATGAGGGACGTCTCTTCCCCTTAATATCTCTCCCTAGCTCAGTCCAACCAACTCCACTACCTCCTATATTATCTTCCCTAACCCTCCCTCCCCATCACTGTCTGGCTTCTTAGTCCTTTCTTCCAAGTACAAGAATGGAAGCTTAGCTTCCCTCCTTCTTTTTTTTTTTTTTTTTAGTTCAGACCATGCATTTTCTTGTTGAACAACATATATATAACTTTATTTAGCACTAAATTAGTATGGAGGACTTACTTTGTCATGAGGCATGGCTTTCGAGTCTTGAAACTCCTCCTGAACATTTCCATGAACGCAGAGGATGGATTTTGGATGGGGATGTTGGTTCATTTTATTTGACAAAGGAAGAGTCTAAGCAAGCACTTACAATGTGCCTTGAGAAGGAGTTCAGTTTCATGCCTGAACCTGGATATGAGGAATATCTTCGTTCTCATGGTTTGGTTGTTGCTAGATTTAGAGCAGTTCTATGGCTTGTCAAGGTTGGTTTGTTGTGTTTGCATAGGATCGATCTCTCTGCATATTTATGATTGATTCTGAATTGGTCGTTGTACTTTGTTTTCAGTCTCGTCCTCGGTTCAACCTCTCCATAGAAACTGTTTTCAATGCTGTAAATTACCTGGATAGATTCATATCTACGACTCATTTCCATGTAAGGAATTCATATTTCTGTTCCTTATGCCTTTCTTTTGTGAGTGCACTAAAATGTTAATAATACCCTCAAATGAATCAGTTGACTTGGTTCGGTATAGGAATTCATTAAGAGCATTATTGACATTTCAGCTTCAAACGAACATTTTGTTTTGCCAGTTCAGCCTGAAAAGATGACTTCTAATCTTTTTAAGGATGGCGCTTTAGTTCATGAATAATTTGATTTGCAGGGATGGAAATATTGGATGATTGACTTACTATCTGTGGCATGTTTCTCCGTTGCCTCCAAGTTCAATGAAACCTCAACGCCACCCTTGCATGAAATTCAGGTATATTTATGATTGCATGCTGATCATGAAGATGATCATTTTCTCCTATCATAAATTAAAAATGTATGATGTGCTGATCATTAACTCAAGATGGTAGGCCTGGACCATTCGTTTCGATCTAGCACAATCCAACGTATGGAATTGGCTCTGATGCGAGCATTAAAATGGCGCCTTGGATGCACAACTACTTATTCGTACGTGGAGCTGATGACACCAATTATCATCTCCAAGAAACCTAACCTAATTCACAAGGACTTAATCAATCAAGTCACGAAAATGCTTCTCTGCGCTCTATTAGGTTTACTATGCGTTCCTTTCTTTCTTTCTTTCTTTGTCCCCCCTTTTTTTTTCTTGTTTTCATTTTTGCTCCATAAAGCTTGATGATTAAACAAAATATATGTATATGGTGTGTAGATTTGAAATTGCTGGAATTTCCACCAAGTGTGATTGCTGCATCAGCTATATGGAACAGTCTACAGGAATTAATTCCATCCTCTGATGATGCCCATTTTGCTGAACTTTCTAGTCTTCTTAATCAACAACAGAAGGTAAATGGAGAAAAGAAATCAGCCATCTCTTTTAGTTTGTTTCATAATTATATATGTTAATGTGTTACACTGTTCCATTGAAAATTGTTTTGAGGTCTTCAAATTAGCAGGATGGGGTTATCAAGTGCCATGAGATTATGCAAGCATGGTCGGGTGACCCATTCTTCAATCTTCTAAATGCTTCTGATGATGAGTACCGCTGCTACCACCCTTCAAGTCCTGTAACAGTCTTGCTCAAGGATCCAATTCATGTCGATGATTGTCAAGTTGATCTATCTCTCTTTAACCTGCCTGCTGGTTCAATAGTAATCGATATTGAATCATGTGGAGAAAAAGGGAAAAGGGAAGAAGAGTAGAGAATTACGCACAGAGATATATAAATGGCATTTCCAGGGCCGTGTGGCGTGCCATATATATTATTCGTATGCTTCTGCTGTGGAATACACATCTCCTTCTTGCAGGGTTTCAAATCTTTGCAATTGCTAAGTAGCTAACTTTCAATGTACCAAAAAAGATTAATCTAACCTGCTTTTTAATATTTATGAATATATGACTTAATTAAGAATGGATTGCAATTTAGGATAGCAAAGCTCTTAATCACAAAAGAGAGTTTGATCTTTTGCTTGGTGAGTAAGAAAGTAAGAGACATAATCATATCTCACATTCTCTTTTAGTGAAGATTTTATTTAACATTAAGAAAAAAGATGTTATTTCTTCGTATTTTATTGCACTGAGAAAAAACAGGGACACAGTAATCTAATGACCTTATTGGCACCTTACTAGATCTTAGAAATTGCTGGATAATAGATTCTTAAAAGTACTTTACGCATGTTAAGCCACT